GAACTGACGAGGATATCAAAGCAAGAATCAGAAAAGCAAGACAAGCTTTCATTACTCTCAAGTCTGTGTGGAGGTCAACAGCACTCAGCATCAAAAATAAGATCCGGATTTTCAACTACTATGTGAAGTCAGTCAGTGCTACTATACGGATCAGGGACTTGGCCAGCGCGTCACAAAGAGCATCTCAAACAAACTACAGACATTCATCAACATCTATCTTCGCTCAATACTCAAGATCAGATGGCCGACCAGAAAAGACCAACAACAGGGATTTCTAGCAATGAGCGAACCAACCCATCAGACACCAAGTGGGCAAGAAATATGCAGGAAGAAATGGAGATGGATCGGCCATACTCTGAGAAACCATCAAGTGACATCACTAGACAAGCCATTGCTCGAGTGGAACCCGAAAGGGAAGCGGCGAGTTTGTCGCCTAAAGGTGACTTGGAGGAGTTGATGTGCAGAGGAAATGAAAACGTGTGAGCAGACTTGGAGCCAGGTGAAAACTCTAGCAGAGAACCGAACTCAATGGAGATGCACGGCTGAAGCCCTATGTTCCTCTAGGAATTGAAGGAAATAATAATATTTACTCAAATACTAGATCAAATCAATATTTTGAAATTTGAGTTGAAAAACCTTGTTGGCCATCAGAACAACAAGAATATATTACTTCCTAAGACAAATCAGTTTCATCGATACAAGAAAACCTGTTGGTCACATGTATCAGTGTAATATTTATATATTTATATTGAAGTTAGACGTCTGTGAGATTTTTAAAAATAGGTTTCTGATCTGCAGATTTATGGTTTACTGTCATTCAAAAGTGAAAAGAATTTTCGAATTTGACTATAGACTGATATCAGTTGGAGAACCATTGAAAACCATGGGGTACCAGATAGCCGTTTCATCCTAGTTTGGGATTCATCGGCAGTACGCACCTATTCGGTTTTGAACCCAGGACCTTCCGGTTACAAGGCAAGCTGACTCGTATACCATTCAGCCATTGGGACCTGATTAAATGGCCAGTCCATGAATTCTAACGTCTACTAACTCGTGAGTTTAGCGCGACCAAGATCCAATGTTATTGGCAGAAAATCCATCGCAAACTAGGCTGATGAAACAGCTGTTCAGTACTTTTTCATTGTTTTCAATAGTTCACTAATGGATAACAATTCGTGGTCAAACTCGTTAGACATATCTAGTCCTTACAAATCAACTCTTGAAACCTATTGCGTTTACCTCCTCGCATCGAATTAAATTGATCTTATATCGTTAGCCAACCTAAGTAGGCAAACTACTTTCGTGATCAGATGCACGTTTTAAAACAAAATGAATTTGAAAAAAAACAAAAAAAACAATAAAGCTCTTGACTATTCAACAGTAAGTAATCTTTAGGCCTTTTTATTCCCTCATTTAGTAAACGAATTTTTAAAAACCACAGCTGAAATGTTCGATTTCTCTAACTCAAAAACATTTAACTCTTTTAAAGACAATAAAAACTACCTAGTTAGTTTAAACGAAGCATTTGCTTTTATGTATTTTTAGTGAAATTTAATTCATTCTAGACAAACAAACAAACAAACAGGCAAGCGGAAAAAATTAGTATTTGTTTAATTCTGAACAATTTAGTGTGTGTGTTTGTGTGTGTGTGTGCGTGTATGTTTAACTGAACAAATAAATGCATATAATTGAGGATAGGCGTAGTGATAAAACTTCGAATAAGAAGAACAGTCTTCACAGACTGGTGAGTTGCATTTACTGATTTTTGGTTTGTGAGAACAAGAATCGGGCATACACCGTTGGTTCGTAAAAAAGAAAACGTGAGATACAACTGTTTATCTGTAAAACGTTCAGCTGCATCTACGGTGAGTTTGATTCTAGACAAGGTTCACCCATGTGTACTCACAACTGTTTGTTTAGTAAATGACACTAGAAGTTTAGCTATTTTTGAAATTTAATAGACGTTAGTTTGCTTACTTCATACATGAGAAGATGATATTTCAGATATCTGGACACAGTTCACAGTCGCATCAACAGGACTTTAGCGTGAACAAGATATCCTGTTCCTAAATTTCATTTTGCTTAGAATACTAATTCATTGTGTGATGTATCTAGTTAGCTAATAGAAATAGAATAAGATAGCAGAAAAATTTCTCGTTCCTAATCAGAAATCTTGGGGGTTTCCCAATTAGTTTGATTGGGTCATTGAGAATAAAAATGACTGTTTCTTCTCAACAAATGTGATATTTAATATCAAAAATCCCTAGGATAGAAGCAAACGGTCTGTGCATATATATTTATGTACATATGTGAATATGCCAAGCAAAATGTTAAATCGCATCATCCTGGAGAGAATAAAAGATGCACTGGATACAGAACTCCTCTAGCCGGAACAAGCTGCATTCAGGAAAGGTAAATTATGCGAATTGCAACTCCACGCATCGTCATCACAGAACAAAGCATGGAATGGCAATCAAACCTCTCTCTACCTCAACTTCATCGACTTTAAAAAAGGCCTTCGACAGCGTAGATCGAGAAGTAATTTGGAAACTACTTCAGCGTGTCAAGTGATCTACAACAGAAAACTCAGAAAGGCGTTCGAAGTGCATACAGGAGGAAGACAAGCTGGCTGTCTATTACCACCACGGATGCTATTCTCATTTGTGGTGGCCTGGATTATGCGTCAGACTGTTCGGTGGGAGCGAGGAGTCAGGAATACGCTGGATGACTGATAAGAAGACTCAAAAAGATCTGGATTTCGTATGTGATTTATGTCCAATGTCACACAAACTTGAAGACTTACATGCGCAAACCAACAAACTGGCTGAAGAATCTTGCAGCGAAGACAGGACACCAGGTGAACATAAAGAAGACGTAGGTGATGAAGATAACCAACCAACCAACAGCAAATACAACCAGAACCAATTACCATCGACGGGAGAGAATTAAGAGAGGTTGCCTCCTCCACTTATCCAGTCTGGAAGCATCATTTGAACTACAGGCGAAACGGACGATGTCGAATTCAGAATCGGAAAGATAAGATACGCCTTCATCAACGTGAAACTAGTTTTGAAATGTTCCGCACTCATTTTAAGGAACAAGATTCGCATTTTCAACACAAATGTGAAGTAGGCCTTTCTATGCGGGTCATAAATTTGGGGTGTCACGAAAAGGATTTCCAACAAGTTGCAGTTTCAACAACAGCTGCCTTCGCTTCATACTCAAATTGCAGACCGGCCAGAAAGAATAAGCAAAAAGAAACTATGGGAGTGAACCAACAGGTGAGAGCTGATCACTCAAAAACTATGTTGGAGCAAGTGGAGATAGATCGGGCATACATTGAGGAGGTCGTCGAGTGACATCGCATACCAGGCACTCGAGTGGAATCCCGATGGGAAGCGACGAGTGAGTGTTTGATGAGAGGATGACATGGAGAAGATCGTGTGAGGAAGAGATGAGAAAGTTTGGTCAATCATGGACCTAGCTGAAAAGGACGGCAGAAAACAGAACAAAGTGGAGATGTGTTATTGAAGCCGTATGTTCCACCAGGAACGCAAGGAAATAATAATAACAATCCTACACTTCAAGAGATCTACTATGGAGAACTAAGCGACTCCTTTAAAGTGAAGACAGGGGACTTCCTTACATCACTGATGGCATTCCTAATTTCGGTGAACTGGATTATATGGAACACCACTCATGGTGAGCGTAGTGACAGGAATATGTTGAACTGACAAGAAGATTCTAGAAAGTTTGGGCTTCGCGGAGGATTTATGTCCAATGTCACACAAAATCCAATGACTTAGCAGAAGAAGCTGAGTGCAAAGACAGATTTTCAAGTGGACACAGAGAAAACGAAGGTGGTGAAGATGACCAAACAACTACCACAACCAACAAACACTACCAATGGAATATATGATAGAGACCACTTCCTCCACGCATCTGACCAGGCAGAATAATTTCAACTGAAACCAGTCGGAATGGATGAATATGTCAAAACAGAATGGCAAGATAGACATTCGTCTCTCAGAAATCAGTTTCCAAATTAAATGCACCCAGCTTAAATAAAAATGTGCTGATTTCGAACACTTATTTTAAGTCAGTAAATTCTTCTACATGGATCAGAAACTTGACGTGCGAGTCACCAGAAGCATTTCTAACGGCTTACTGTAGTTTTTTATCAGTAAATGTCTTCGCTTCATAATGAAGATGAAATGACCATCTATAAACAATTAACAACAAGGAACTAACAAAAAACAAACTAACCAAGAGCTTATTGTCGAGCAAATATGGTGAAGAAAATGGAGACAGATTGGATAGACACTGAGGAGACTGTTGGCGGACACTGATGTCCAGGCCATCACTCTAGTGTAACCCTAACAGGACCGATGAATTGAGTAGGAGTTCGAACATTATATGGAGGACGTGAGAGCCTAAGGGTGATCGTTGAGCCAGCTAAAGAGGAATTTCAGAAACAGGATAAAATGGATATATGCTGCTGAAGCTCTGTTTTCCATTTAGATCCCACAAGAATAATTGCTTTATATGGTTAGTGTAACCAATGTATTGCACTCAAAGCCGATGAATGATAGAAAAGATGCAGATTTCTAACCAGTAACAGATGGTTAGACAGTAGGTAAAGCGGATCATCTTACCACACTTTGCAACATCGGGAAACTTCATATAAGGATTTAGTTGTAACATTTTAATGTATTTTATGTGCGGATTAAAGATATTCAGATATTTTCATGGACTGATAGTTTCGAGAAAAGTGTTGGTCTTCAGTCTGAGCGTCTTTTCAAAATGCGATTCTTGTAAATCTAGAAATTAAGCCTACTGCTACTATGTATATTTACCAGGGCTAATCAGAAGGATAAATTTTAAAATCAATATCTTATTCAATTTGAGGCTAATACAGCTTATACCTAATACAATAATTGTCTTAAACCTTTCCTTATAAACTGTTAAAATTTGTTTCGCACCAAAAAATAGGAACTCACTTGTACATGGTGAATCAGGTCTGTCCAACACCGGATGCCGATGATAGCCAGCATCGCATACACAGCTATCAACTTCATGCTGAAATGAGCCATTGTATTTCAATACTGTAGAGCCATACTTTAAATAATTAAGGCCATGTGTACTACGTCCTGATAGAGTATGAAAAGGATTGTGTGAGTTCAATGGACAACGTTGACATGGAAATGGTCCAAAGGTTGATTTGAAGTGATACAGTCCACAGGCTTAATAGACAAAATAAAAATAAACACCACTGAATAATTTTTGATAACAAGCAGTATTAAGGTAACATTATATAGTTCATATTTAATTCACTCATCAAACATTTTCGTCTGCAATTCTGATTCTTGGTACTTGAGCTTCATAACGTTTTTATGTTTCCCAGAAGAAAATAAAGAGCATCACAGTGATCAGCCATAAGAACATTTCACGTTTGATCACGAATTGATATCAGTAAGAGGACCATTGAAAACCAGGGAGTAGTGAACAATTATTTTTGTCCCAGTGCCTGGGACTTGTCCACAGTACTCACCTACTGGGATTAAAGCCCACAACCCTCTGGTTACAAGAGGAGCTCGTAGACCATTCAGCCACTGAGATCTGCCTCAGTGGCGAGTTCATGAATTCCAACTTCTGCCAACTTGTGATTCTAGTGCGACCACTAGCGAATGTCATTAGTGAGTATATACGCTCATTCTCAACCGGATGGACCCCAATAGTCACTACTTCTCAAAAGCACTCCAGTTGAGAACTAGCTAGCATCAGACTAATTTTCAAGAATTAATGTCAGTTAAATAGCAACTAAAATCCAGGAAGTATTCGACAGGCATTGACTTGAGTTTCAGTGGCTGAGTTGTCTACTAGCTGCTTATGTAAACTGAAGGTCCTGACCTCAAACCTTAGTGGATGCGTACTGCCAATGAGCAACAAAGAAGTTCGAAACGAATGACCAGACTCTAACAGGTGATCACAAATAGACGACTTCGCGGTTATACGTTCGCCTTTCATTTAACAAACCGGATAGTGTTCAGCTATACGTTTTCGGAGAGTACGCTTACAAGGTCCAATATAATCAGGTCCACAGGAGCAGGTAAAAGAGTAAATGCACATAGATGTGGATATTAGCGGTAATCTATCCTTGACGCATTGTCTAATCATATTTCGGCTAGTAAAAACTAGTTGCAAGTCAGCTGCAGGAAAAGTGCGGTGGTGGCACAGAGGTTAGGATTCTCGCCGACCATGTGCATGGTCCGAGGTTCGATCCCCCACCGATGCACACCTGATATCAATGATCGGCCTGACACATTTTGGCTACCGATATCACATGCTGAAAATTCCATACTTGTACCAAAAACTGTGTGGAATCAAGCTATAATAAAATATAATTAAATATGTTTAATATATTTAGATAAACGAATTTTAATCAATTCCGAAATGGTGTCACCTTTGAATGCAAGACTCATAAACAGTTTTTCCTTTGGCACTGTGATTTGTCTAGGGGCGGATTCTTTCTTGATGTTACGTCCAATAAACCTTGTAGGATAACCATTAGTGAGGAGATTTGATCGAAGGTTATCTAGTTCAATATCGATTGTCTCTATAGAGTAGATTTTACGAATTCTGGAGCATAAGGAATGAATAAGATTTTTCTTTCTCCCTAAAGGTACCCAACTGTTGAAGTTAGTGTACTGCCCTGTGAATGTTGGCTTTCGGTAAATCGACCTTAACAGCGTTCCATTCTCTCTTTTCTATCTAGCTTGACGTCAAGGAAGTGAAACGAGGAATTCGATTCTTCTTCGACCGTGAAAAGCAAAGATGGGTGAGAACCATTAAATATTCCAAGAAGTTCGGCAGCTGAAGAGTTTTTCTCACAGACAATGAAGGTATCCTCTATATATCTTTTATGCATAAACACACTCGATGGTTTTCTCTAGTGGACCGTTCTCCAAGCTTGCCATGAAGACGTCCGCTAAGAGCGGTCCTAAAGGAGACCCCATGGCGACTCCGTCTCTTTGATTGTAGATGACTTCATTAAATCTAAATTGCACATTCAGTGTGCATCTCAATAATAATTGTTTCAGATATTCAGTTGGTAACCCAATGTTCATGCTATTTGAATCAATATACTCACATAGATAGCAGATAGTGTCTACTAGTGGTAAATTTGTGAACAATGAACAAACATCTAACGGTCACATTAATTTCATCAACGCAGCTGACAAAGTCAAAAGTGTCGGAAAGACTATGTTCACATAGATTTTAAATAAAAGTTGATTGTAAATCACTTACGTTCGCACAACTGATCTGTCAAACTGTCCTCGTTCGATACACCAAATCCAGGCATACATTCACACGGTCTATCCAAATGATTCAAATAATTGCTTCTTGATAAGCTGTTCATGTTCGTCTCCCCAGTTGAGTCAATCGATACCAATGCTTCGTAATACCACAATCCATCTGTTTGACAAATCAATTTAGGAACTTCCCTATGATTAAGCAAAGCTGCACCACTGATACATCGTCCATCTACAGACAGGCCTTCCATTATTCTTCCAGTAACAGTTCGAGGATATTCTACAAAATTTCTTCGCATAAATGGGCAAACAATAAATCCTATTCGTACTCTTCGTATAGTTGAGCATGATCCACGATCACGTATAGCTATTTGAATATTTTCATTTTGTACATTAAATCTAGTTATGTATACATTAACTTGTTCTGAGGATAAATCATTTGCATTGTTGGTGTTTTGATTAGATACATTCCAAGAGGAAAGAAATCCTTCTGTTGATAGGTCGTGTTGACTCTTATTCGAAGTAGACAATATAGCCAATTTTGCATATAAGTTTTGTCTGTAAAAACAGGAAAGAAAACTTGAGTTAGTTTTACGCATTAGTGAATAAATACGATGCATCTACGTGTCACCAACAATTATACATCTCATCCAACAGTTGTACGATAATGCTGCGTGCCAAGTAATCCACAACGGGAAACTCATGGAATACTTCGAAGTGAAGACGGAAGTAAGACAAGCTGACTACCCACTATCTCCAATGATATTCCTGATCGCGGTAGACTGAATAATGAGACAGACAGCAGCAGGCAGCGAGGAAAAAGGCATAAAGTGGACTCACAAAAAAAACTTGGAGGATCTGGACTTCGCCGATGATATATGTTTGATTTCCCACAAACTGGAAGATATGCAAGTGAAAAGCAACACGTTGGCAGAAGAAGCATCCAGAGAAGATAGGACTTCAGGTGAACATAGAGAAAACAGAGGTGATGAAGATTCCTGGCCAACAGAAACAGACAACAATCAGCATAAATGAGAAGAGTCTCAAACAAGCAACCTCCTTTACCACCTACCTGAGAAGCATCATTTCAACTAAAGGTGGAACTGACGAGGATATCAAAGCAAGAATCGGAATAGCAAGACAAGCTTTCATTTCTCAAGTCTGTGTGAAGATCAGCAGCACTCAGCATCAAAATAAGATCTGGATTTTGAACTCTAATGTGAAGTCAGTGCTACTTTATGGATCAGTGACTTGGAGCGTCATGAAGAGCACCTCAGACAAACCACAGACCTTCAACAGTTGTCAACGCTCAATACTCAAGATCAGATGACCGGCAGGAAAAGATCAGCAATAGTGAGGGATCTCTGGGAGCGAACCAACTCAGCAGGTACCATTTGTGCAACAAATATGCGAGAAGAAATTGAGGTGGATTGGCCACAATCTTAGAAAAAACAAGACATCAAGTGACATCACATTACAGGCCATCACTCGAGTTGAACCCGAATGGGAAACTGGTGAGTGGATCGTCCAAGGCTGACATGCATGTGGTGATGTGAAGACGAGAAGAAAGCATGTGGGCAGATGTGGAGCCATATGAAAACGTTGGCAGAGAACCGAACGCAATTGAGACCTGTAGCTGAAGCCCTATGTTCCTCTAGGAACTGAAAAGAACAATAATAACACAATCTACGTGTTTTACAAGTGTATTCAATCTCAATAGAATTTATTTTTAATTAGCCAGTAAAAACTGACGCTTGTTCAGTGTCAAATGAACACTTAAACTTCTCATGATTTAAAATTACTTTATTTGTACGTGTTTTCAATTCAGGAAATGCCTGATAGTCATCACTAATCAAAATTAAAATAGAAATTTCAGCACTGTGTCAAAATGAAACTTCATATTATGTATTATTACCTAAAATAGAACGGGAGTATTTTATTAACTGCAAATCTAAAGCACACTATACTGAGTCTTCTTTGGACTTTCATCTCTCTCCAGAGTTTTATTTTTATTTTTTCCCGGTAATAGAATCCTAGGATTTCCTTTTATGGGAAGGTAGAACCTTTAAGAACTTCCCGATTACTCTTATTACAGATGAAATGAAAGTGGTCTTCGATAGAATGATCACCGGCTGTGTTATATTACCAGTAAATACTATTTTATCCATAATAAGATTATCATGATTAGTAGGTTTTTCTCAGGAAATAATAACGAAGACTTGCAGCTCAGGTGGTTGATATTGATGTAATCGTGTTCGCTAACACAGGTGATTTAATCGTGAAGCATACATTGTTATTCTAAACAACATCTTCAACGCAGATTTCAGTGTCAAGTGATGTTTGAATTACATTTGAATAATACAATTATTACTCTTGACAACCTTTAGTGCTATTGGCTGTCAGTACTAATGCGAACCAACAGTCATCCCCAACCAGTCTCATCAAGAGAGGCAATTAAATGAAGATAAGTCTTTCTCTGCCTTGCTTACTGGAAATGAAATCCCTTAAGCTACTGTTCTTTCTCCTCCTCTTTTATCTTTCTTCTTACATGACTTACATATCCAACATAGACTTACTCAATAGACGACATCAAAGGCAGGTATGCTAATTAACATTTACTTTGTTGTATATCTTATATGACCTCCATCCTAGCCTTTATTTAGGTGGTTAAGTTAAGTCTAGGACACCAAAACCCTTCATCAAAAATCTACAATTAATAAAACACCTTTTTTGACTTACACATGATTGGCATCATTTTCGTCGGTTACCAATCCATCATCCTGACGTAGGAGAAGTTCCAACACCTCTTGACAATGACGTAACACATCAGAATTTGGATGTTCCCTGCATTCTCTTATTGTGAAGGTGACCTCTACAATAATATTTTTCGCTTCAGTAATATGAACTGATGGACTGTACAACCAATTATCATTGTGCTCTTGGGCTATCTGGCATACACCGTAAATTTTTCTTTGTAAAATTGGGTGTGTCTGTTGACGCCACTGAAAGAAAAAACACAAACAAAGACTGGATTGAATTTCACAAAAAAACTGAAGTTAACACGATGCACTGCTTATAGTGTATCCCTAAAATGATAACAGACCTACCTGTTGTTGATAATACTAGTGACGTATTCCAAAACTTAATTCTTTTTATATTCAGATAAATGCTGTCTGACGCTGCAGAATGTTGTTAATCACTGGACTTTTATTGGATGCATTTAATTTCAAGTCCCACTGAGAATATTATAGTATTTCATCATGAGGTGACATTGGTTAGAGAACCATTGGAAAACGTGGGAGTACTGAACAGCCGTTTCGTCCTAGTTTGGGACTCTTCAGCAGTAGGCAGCTACCGGGATTCGAACCCAGTCGACTGGCCCTATTCAGGTGGGTGGTTACCTGGGGTTCCAGTGGGAAGTCGTGACCAGTAGGAAGCAGTCGGTCGGGTGTGACGACAGATACTCGCCGAAGACATTGGTTAGCGGTTACGCTATATCGTGAATTAGCAGAAGTTAGAATTCATGCGCCATTGGATCGGGTCCCAGTAGCTTAATGGTATACGACCTCGCCTTGTAACCAAAAGTTCCTGGGTTCGACCCTCGGTGGTGCGTGCTGCTGAAGAGTCCCAAAATATGGCGAAACAGCAGTCCAGTACTCCCAGGTGGATTTCCAATGGTTCTCTAACCGACGTCAGCTCATGATGGAATCCTCTAACCAATCAATCAAATCCCTACAAACCAATAGTTGAATATTATAGTAGCTTAAGGTTGTTTTCAATGGTTGCTTTATAAAGATTCGATTAGTTTCAAGTTTGATCATGGATTGATATCAGCTGGGAGTCGCGCTAAAATCACGAATTGGTAGAAGTTAAAAGTCATGGGTTGGCCGTTGATTCGGATGCCAGTGGCTGACTAGTCTACGAGGTGGCATTGTGCCTAGAAGGTCACGGGGCTAGATACTGCCGATGATCCCCAAACCAGGAAGAAACAGCTGTCGAGCACTTTCTGCTGGTTTTCAGTGGTTCCCTTGCTGATGTTGATCCGTGATCAAACCTAAAGTTGTTTATAGGGATTTGGTTGATTGGTTATAGGATTTCATCATGAGCTGACATCGGTTAGAGAACCATTGGAAATCCACCTGGGAGTACTGAACAGCTGTTTCGTCCTAGTTTGGGACTCTTCATCAGTACGCAGCCACTGGGGTTCGAACCTAGGACCTTCAGGTTACAAGGCGAGCTCATAGACCATTAAGCTACTGGGACCCGATCCAGTGGCGCATGAATTCTGACTTCTGCCAATTCACGATATAGCGCAACCGCTAACCAATGTCTTTGGCGAGTTGTTTATCTTATATCAGTGGAAAATATTTTGACAGACTAGACTAGTAGCTGAGTCTTGTATCCATCCTCATGTCTGCGAAATTAAACCAAGTAATTTGTTACAGTGTGTGAGGAATCTTATTCAAACTCAGTTTTTATAAAAAGTTGTATCTATGACTACGCTTACAAAGTTTTCTGATTACTCCAATCAGATAATTTAATCATTGTTTGTGACTATGCTCATGGCACACCAAATGAATAGAGATACATAGCTAAAAAAACCATCTTGTGACTCTTTTTATGGCAGTTATAAAAGTGCAAAATGTATTGAATCATCAGTCATTCCTATTTAAAATATTGCATTGTTCCGGTTTCTCTGTTTGAATAGCTAAAGCTTCAGAAATGTAAAAGAGACTAAAGTGTATGGCTGTTTGACGGGTTGTTCTTTACTTTGTAGACTACTTTGAAGAAGGAGGCGTTTGTTGAGATGAAGTGTCCAGTGTAGACAAGGTGTTCAAATAGAGAAACTGGAGTAGTGTATACAAAAGAAAATTATTCAACTCTTTCTACTGTCATGGTAACAACCTTGTTGGTTTCCACTAACCTGATTTCTGTTTGTTGGTTTGTTCGTTTTCCTCACTCCTTATAACTCTTGTATTTCTTTAAGACTCTTAAATGATTCCATATATTCCATGCTAACTTCGTACATTCTGATGATAACTTATTCATTGAATTGTTCACGCTATTACGTAATTCTAATACACTTACTCAGCTCTCCTTATACATTGAATAATATGACTGCGACAACCCATCACATTTGTTACTAACTACTTTCACGAATAACTGCATATAAATTTGATTGTACAGCTAAAGATGAATTGGCTGAAAACAGCCTCTTCGTTGAACTACGTTTTTTTGTTCACATTAATTATAGAAATTACCATGCGTGTATTTAATTATAGAACAACACATTTAAGCGGACAATATTGTTTTGAATTAGATCTCATGGTGAATATAAATTGTGCAATTAGTCATAATAGTAGTGATGACAATAATAATATTATTAATAATAATAGTAATAATAAAAATGGTCTTATCAATAATAAGGATGAAAAAGTGAAGCAATCTGTGATGACACGAATAATGAAAAACAGCATGATTAAACAAACAGGTGGAAGTAGTCGATAAAGGCTAGTAAAAACAAATGAACCGATTAAGTGATGTTAGATTGTAAGGGAAGGAAATGAAACACGTTTATAATGAAGATAAGATTAAGGGATGATAAGAAAGGGGTTGAAAAATATAAACAAAGGGTGGTGTAGAAGTCATTAGTCGGTTATGTCTTAATAGGACAAGGGAGAGATAATGGCTGTATGAACTTCTTTTGAATACATAGTTTAGGTTTAATAGTTCGAATGCCTATCACCTCAGCTGTGTGCAGTAAACGAATACGAAGTCTATTGGAAAGATTCGGTGGGATACGATGAATCACTTTGATGGCTCTCGTTTTCTCGATTACATGACCACTATCAATTAAGTGTGACAAAACTGAGCTACGGATTGTTTTTGTCTGTCTTTTGCCAAACCACGATGGGAGATGTTCACTAACACGTTGGCTAATCTGTCTAGTAGTACGCCCAATATAACTGTCACCTCAGGTGCAGTTGAATTGCTAATTGCACATAGATGTGGCAAAACTATCAAGCCTATACTTCGTTTTTGTCGCAATCATTCGTCGGCTAGAGAATGACAAACATAGGTGTGCTGCATAAAATGTTCTTCGTATACTCCTTGAAAGTCTTTGGAATAGAATCTCACTTTTATAAATCACCATTAAATTGTAACTTAATAATTATAGGTAGATTCTGTTATTATTTCTAACTGACTTACTCCTTCATATTTTCCCGTATTTCTTGTCCAGTTATTCCAATCAGTAACGTCTGTATCCAGAAGGATAACTGAAATGCAACAAAAAACACACACATGTAGACGATATTAAGACAGTAAAGTCGAGGAAAAGAAATAAAACGTCGGTGGCACAGTAGTTAGTACTCTCGCCGACCATGCACAAGGTCCGGGGTTCGATCTCCTGCCGGCGCACACCCGATATCTATGGTCGGCCTGAATCTGGGCTACCGATATCCATGCTGAAAATTCCACACTGAAAATACGGTGTGGAATCAAGCTGTGAATCAAAAAAATCAAAAAAAATATATAAAGTTGCACGGAATGTATACAGTGAATATAACTCCGCCTTAATATCTCATTAAGTTGTATGACATGAATAATAATAGCAATAATAATAATAATAATTTGCTTTATTCCATGAACAGTAATAGTGATACACTGTGGAATTTTCAGCACATATCTACAATATTTGCATCTAATTTTATCCAACGTTTAAAAGGAGTATTTCAAAAAATAAATATAAAAACAAAAAAAACAAAAATAATTTTAAAAAATGCCAAAAATTCCAAGAAGTAGAAAGGAAAATAAACAGCATATTATAATATCTCAGTATTGGGTAGTGGAAGCTATGATATGATTATGCATGGTGACAGTAAAGCTATAGTCATACAAGAAGTGATGAAATGATATTTAAGAATGTTTATCGCCAAGATGATCAGTTAACACTAAACAATCATAAAATAACATTTCAGGGTTGTTGTTTTGCTTTTTATTGTCAGGTCTAATGCAGTGTTTGTAGTGGTAGTGTGAGTAATACTGCATAATACAAAATTTTAAGTTAGTGGTAATGGTGTTCACAACCAATGATTGCCAGTTAATATTGCCGAAAAAAATTTTAAAAAAACAACCACAAAAACTAATAATTACAAGATGGTTAATGACAGGACAATTTTGTAATACTCATAGTGCTAATATAGTCGGAACCAGTAGATACACAAAGAAGGAATAGAGTAAAGTACAAAAAAGTAAGCCAATTTTAATAATTTAGGTAGCCAAGTATGTCTGAGAAGGAGTTCACTATAGAATACAAAATAAGAGAGAAATAAAAGAGCCTAAAATTATTTTATTAACAACAAAGCAAGTCATAGGTTTCGCGCTTAACATTGTCTCTGTCACTTAGAACACGGGTCAAATATGGTATCGTTGAGTTCCTGTACTTGGTTGTACGAGCATATATTATTTTATACTGATTTCTGGTTTTACTTGATGAGATACAAGGCGAGAGATCTCATTTAAAATGTATGTCATTAGTTAGCGGTGGTTCAATGGTAGAGAACTCGCCAACCACACATGTGGTCCGAGGTTCGATCCTCGGTCGACGCACTCCCAAATAGTGTTAAGCAGGTAGAAAATCCGGTAAAGATGGAAGATTGGGCGTGAAGCTAGCAACCGCATTCCGTAAAAATAAACACCACTGCTATCGAAACTTCAAAGCTCTAGCTTGAAACCTATTTTCCACTGAGAACGTAAAGAGATAAAATAGATGTGTCAAACAAAGTCGATATGAAATTTCTGCTTGAAACTTGGACTACTAAACACCACCACCATCACGGTGGTGGTATATAATTTACTGTAACTAATATTTAAAATGTCTGTAACCTCATGATTCGCTTTTTTCTACTAAATTTGAGAAAAAGTAAGATCGTGGGTGACAATATATCCCAATACATGAGAAAACTGTTCCCGAGTTATGTCCTTCGGTCTTAAAATGTACTGCTAAACCTTTTATATTTGGTTTTTCAAAAATATGGTGGATTTCTCGAACGAGGCAAGGAAGAAATATTATAAGGGATCGGTATGCGCTTCAGCTCAGACAGCAATGAGTCACAGGACCTACTGTCAGTTAATATTTTATTTGAAGATCTTGTAAGAAGAGAAAATATCATGCACTAAACTTCTACCGAAAATTCTGTGCATTATATAAGTAGCATCTGGCACAATGCTATTATTATCATATTTTGAAATGCAAATTAAGCGTACTGTTGGTTTATACTTCCCTAATGTTTCATTTTCTTACCCGGTAGAATTACTATCAGCAAATTACCGATGCTGAGCCATCACCTGTTTGAATTACGCAGTGCTAAGGGCGGATGCTGTTCAACTGCAATCTAAAATTGAAGTTTTTTTAGATACCAAACACAGAACACACTTTTTACGAGTTTAACTGCGGTTCGATATCAGTTTGATAGCCAATGAAAACCAAGGAGTACTAGATAACTGTTTCATCCTAGTTTGGAAATCATCAGCAGTACGCACCCACTGGGGTTCGAACCCTGGATGGACTTCCTACCGATACAATTGGTTGGTGGTCGCGCTAAATCACGAATCGGAGGAAGTAAGAGTTCATAGACTGGCCAATGAATCGGGTCCCAGTGGCTAAATGATATACGAGCTTGCCTTGTAACCGGAAGGTCCTGAGTTCGAAACCCAGTAGGTGGGTACTGCCGTTGTGTCCCAAACTGGAATGAAACAGCTATTTAATACTTCCTGGTGATTTTCAATGGTTCTCCAACTGATGTCAATCCGTCGTCACACTCGTAAAAACTAATTTAATCCCTACAAACGAACTCTTGAAAAGTAAAACGCACTTGATTTTTCAAGAATGTAGAGCTGACGTTATCGCTTTTCCTGATGAAGGATTGTCTGCAAATAAGTATCAGATATCCACTAATAATCGACTAAGCTGTATCTCAACACCGGTGTATAAGGTGTGTGATGTTGTACAGTTAAAATCAGACGTCATATGGTCATCCTACTCTATAAAATTACAATAGCCACTTAAAAAGCTGGGGGGAATAAAAGTAAACAGACCTTTATCTACCCGAAAATATGGCCTTATCAAATTACGCTGTTTTTTTTTCAAATATGCGAAGTGAAGTGGAATCACATTACAAGTGAAAACATCAACATAACAAATGAAGCCCCTTCAGTTCAGCTTAGCATAACTAAACTAACACAAAGATTCCTAAAGAAGTTGTGAAAATTACTTTCTTGTTTTCAAGATATTTTAAAGTAAGTTTTTTGAAAAAAACAACTTTTTATTGACTGCTCAATTGACGTAAGGTCACAGACGACAAATACAAAAGAAAAAATGTAATTAAATAACAGTGTCATATTTCATGTTTGAGGTCAGTGTTGTGTAGAAAATAGGATACCTCAAAATATGTTACGCCTAATTCAAATTATTGGCGCTAAAAATACTGAATACTAAATCAAATTTATCCGATTTGATTATCAAACAATTCACCCCCTTTCAACCGAATAACAATAATTCTTTAGTTCGAGGTTTGATCTTAGAAACAATTTTCGCCTTTTGCGTAGGATTCTTTTCACTGGATTTCATAGCCACCAGCCTGAATACGTTTCTAGTGTTATCGAATCAGGAAAATGTATGAAACATAGCGATTAGCAATAAATTTAGAATCGTTCACCATGGAGACCTTCATCATTGAAACTAAACATAAGTAGTTGAAGTTCCATTTTTTTTCACAGGTTTTTATCAATTTTGACACTGTGTTACGGTTTAGTGGGGAAACTATAGCAACCGAAAAGAAAGACTGTCATGATGACCTTGATAAATCTCTGCCAGCCAATCAGATGGCTCCAAAGTAAAAGTGCGTAATTTAAACGTTTTTTTACAGAAATCTAAATTAAAAATAGTTATACGGAGTAAGTTTCTCCTGCATGCTACTAGAAAACATTCCATTTCCGTATTGGAGTCTTTACTGATAATTCAAACCAGTTTCTGTACATTAATTCATCCAGACACATTTATTGATCTAACCCTCCTTTTTTAAATGACTGCAGACATTTTCGGTGGAATTTGTGTCTCATGGAAATGATTAACAAAGTTATCTATATGACTGACCTCATTGTGAGCATAACCCAGAGATGATAGCCGGCTGTAACTGCTACTGGATTACTCCTCCACATCTACATTTTTTATCCCTTCCTCTGAGACAGTGTGCGTCGATGGCGCAGTGATGGAATGCTCACCAACCACACAGGTGGGTAGGAGTTCAATCCCCGGCCACTGACGCACTCTTTTACCTTGCTAGGCCGACAATAAGACTGGTAGAGAAGGAAGGTTGGGAATGAGGCTAGCAACTCCATCCCATAAAAATAAACACCACTGCTACTGAAACTTCAAGCCTCTAGCTTGAAGCCCGATTTTCCACTGGGAACATAAAGGAATGAAAAAGTGAACCTACTATTCCGACAGTACTGAAATATCAGACCAGGATGAAATCTGCAACGTAATTCGTCTACTGTAGACGTAATTTCTATTGGCTTATCTGATTGGTTGGTCAAGGTCATTATGATATCTGTTCACTTGGGTAGTTATGACTAAGGGTCACCGAAAATCTTTTACACTCAGTCACACAGCGATTGAAATCATATTGGAATATTCACAGAAATATAAACTGGTCATTTTGAAACTTTCATTCTTTCTAATTTAAAAACTTAAGCACTGAAATTAAATAAATTATCAAGCCCAGTTTCTAAGCAAGTAAGCATGTTGCTTATTAGTTGAGTCATTCCACTATCCGTATATGTCTATTTGAATCCTTTTTGTGAGTGTCAGCTTTTTGATGAGTCACAACTCTTCTAAGCAGTACGTAAATTTCAATGACAATAATCTGTCGCGCTCAGCGTAAACAACCAAATTCGGACTTTCAACACCAATGTTATCTCAGTCACTTCTTCTATATGGGTGGGAAAGTTGGCCTCAGCGTCACGAAAAGCATTTCCAGTAGGCTACTGAGGACCTTTATGGACAGCTACCCCATTCGCTGGCTTCATATTGAAGATAAAAGGGCCAGGACGAATTCGCAAAAAGAAACTAGGAGAACAAATCAACTAGGAACCGATTACTCAACAAATGTGGTGAACGAAATGGAGGTAGATTGGACACATGCTTAGGAGATCGTCGAGTGACAATGCAAGTCAGACCATTTCTCAAGTGGAAATCGAATGGAAAACAGCAAGT